AAAAAGTAAAAGAAACATAAAAAGAAAAACAACTGTTTTGTGTGTAACCTAGACCCCACCGGCTAACCACTGAGTTCTTATCTGTTCTGACATGTAATCAAACAGCTTCCTTTTTAGTTTTAGCATCAGGTATGAATGGTCTTATAAGATTAAATGATAAGAGTGATTGTGTGACTGATAAAGAGGTGAAGAGTTACAAGCCTATAAATTGTTTGGGCTTAAAACTAGGCGATCTGAAACACGCTCTGCTACAGGAAGAGGTTTCTCAGCTCTGCATCTGTGTCCGTACGACAGTAAGAGGAAGTGGTTTTAGAGCAGACCATTTCACACCTCTGTGGAGCCCTGAGTAGCTCTAACCCACCAGAGAATCACTTGAACAACTAAAAGATTTTAATTTGAATAGTGACATAGAAATAGTCCAGAATCTTAAATACGTTTTCTTCTTCTTCTTGTACACGTCATAACATTCATAATTTTGTAATATTTTTAAAACTTTCTGTTGTTTATGTCAAGGTTTAATTAAATTAAATTTTCGATGTGGAGAGAGACAGAGAGAGAGATAGACAGGTAGTCAGATAGATAGATAGACCTCTTCCGTGAAGAAGGGCTCATTCAGCTCTAAGCCTGCTTAAGCTAGTAGCAGTAAAATTGAGCATAAAGGAGCGACCGATGGACACATCATTTAAACACAGTGTGATAACACTGTAAACAGTCTCAGCTTGGCCTTCATGTAATCTAATGTCAAAGACTGCATATCAGACTCTTCTTCTGGCTCAGCAACACAGAGACACGATGCTGCACGGATGCTGGACTTTAATGTTTTTTCTCGGTAAGTCTCCACAACCATCGACAAACCGCTGGCCTCTATTTCAGTAACCTCATCTACTGAAATGATGGAACTTTATCTCTTGACTGCACGCAATTTAAAATTAGATCTCAAGTATGGCTACTCAGCTATTCTAAACAGCAGCACATCATAACTCCACCATCAGCCATTGAAACCTAGAAAAAGTGATAGAGCAATGTCAATTTACTGACATATAGATATTCAATAGTTTTGAAGGTTGTACTGTTGGTTGGACGATTGTAAAAGAAACGAGCCACTTTAGAAAAAGGCTATGCAACTATAGCAGTAATACTAGATTAAATATAGACTACTTGCAGGCTACTTGTTATTCATGCTGAATCTAAACACAGTTAAACCATTTCTCTGCATATTTATATGCACAACACACTAGAAACACATGCTTGTGTTCATGTTTTTATTTATTCATTTGTTTTAATTAGACCGATCTTCATTAGAATCGGCCACCAACAGCCATTACCATTTGCCCATCAGGAGTGGCCACAGCCAAACGTCAGCAGCACCTGCCATAAGTATCTGCCACTCAAGAGTGGCATCAGCCAAACGTCATTAGCACCTGCCATCAGTATTTGCTGCTCAAGAGAGGCATTAGCCATTCACTTATAAGAGTCAGTCATCGGTATCTGCTATTTAAAACTGTAAAAACGCAATGTTTTGATATCCAGCTGTTTATAAGTCTAGCTAGTCTCCACTGAAATCACTGCTCATTCTCGTAAGTGATGTTTTCGTCAAGGCACATACATGTTAACCTATTAGTGAATAATATTACATTTTTCTGTGAATATATTCAAATGTGTTACTATTAATAGAATATGTCAGTTGACCATATGGAATTATACATGCAAAGTCATGTATTTCATTATTTACGTATGTTTATGTTCTCTGTAATGTATGCTGACGTAGCAACGAATGATCCTGGTACAAACTATTTCATTTGGCTGGTACACCTTTTGGTTGTCTCAGTTATTCGGACTAGGCTGTCAGTCCTGGGAGACAAATCTGCTTATTTCTATGTAAGAGCAGATGTGAAACTTAAGAAGTTCCTCTACCAACATATCACATTACTGCCTAAAGTAAAAGCATGCACTGGTTTAACCTTTAGACTTTTAACTTTGCAAAGGTACTTCTGCTTTTTATCAATGCTATTATTCACAGCATTGTTTTTAACAAACTACATCCAATGTCACTAACACTAAACAGTTAATGAACACATGAAAGCTACTTAGCAAAATTAAAGTAGTATTTATGTTTAAGATCAAGGTTTGTACATTGATTATGTGCTTTTAGGGTTTTCACAGCTGCCAACTTGTGAAATGGCCATGGTGCCACTGAGCAGCAGGTGCCACTGGGGTTTGGCCAGTGCACACAGGCCTATGTTTCCTGGGTTGTTTAATAAATCCGCTGATAAATGGTCTTTACAGCATTTGGATTTACCCTGAATAACAGATCACAGTTAATTCAATAATAGGTTTGAGTACGTCTGTAACAAGCTGTGTTATTGGTAACTTTCTGTGCCGCAACAAAAGCTTACATGTAATGTATATTCAAGCTAGTATCACTGCTATGGTCACATAACTTTTGTTGAAGTGGGTCATTTAGCTTAGAATTGTCCATCCACCATCACAACCTACAAAATTAAGACTATTTGTAGTCTATAATTGCTTCAGGGTCTCAAAAGCTGACTGACAGTTCTCTGACCAGTTGAAGTCTTGCCTTTTACTTGTTTCAAGGAGGCAGCAATGCAAGAAACCCTCCCACTCAAACTTTCTGTAATAAAAAGCTTTCTAGCTGCTTTTGGGTGGGCCACTTGCACATGGCCAATTCCCTTCCCATCTAAGCGGTACCCCAGGAAAATCTCTCCAGCACTCTCTGGTCAGCCTGTCAATTTATTTTCCTCTCTATTGGGTCAGGCCTGGGTTCATTACATGACTTGGAATTGGGTACCAAGTCATGTTGTCATTCACTGAGAGCACTGAGAGCTGGAAACAGAATTAGGCAAGAATGCCATGGGGGACATAAGTTCAACAGCTAATTGACCTATCAACCGCTTCAGTTCAGCTCTTTCTTTGGCTAACCTGCATGCAGGGCATGGGTGACGCACCCCTTCACACAGAATGCAGCAAGTCTTTGAGAGAGTGTAGTCTTCCCTGGGGACCATGAAAGTACCCCTCAGAGTCTCCAGTGCTTCACGGCGGCTTAACACCACATGCCCCCCGCCTGAAGCTCAACTTGTTGCTTGCTAGGTCTACTTGGCACTCCTTATTTCTCAAAATATCAAGGCTCAGAGTGCACGTCTTTCTCTTAAACTACCCGGATTAAATGGCACATATTCTTGCCCCCGACTCTCAGAATCAGTCACACTCTTCCCTTCATTGTGTTAACTCACCAGTCATAGTGTGTAGGTGAACTGTCATGTCCTCCAGCCTGAACACGCAAGAACCACTTCTGCACAGGCCACTGTAACAGACAACCCTGTGTCGAAATGGATGGAAATGTGGCAAAAGTCTGTTGTAGATGTCCACCCCACTACCACCACTGCCTTCATTGTTATTATTGGCAAGGGTGGTGCTCATTTGGAATTCGCAGAACGAAAATGAGGCGGGCCGCATTATCCCGCTTACTGCTATACCAGCGAGTTTTCTGCTGACTTCCATCCCAACTGGCAAGCCCTAGCCAGATAGCCCAGCTGGCCACACGACCAGCACCAGCAGTTGCATGCCACTAACTTTGTGGCAGTGGGACTAGCCAATCTGTTTTATCATTTCCATCATCTGCTCAGCCCATGCTGGCATATGTGACATGCTTGAGTCACCTCCTGCTCCAGCTGCAGGACTGGAGGTGTCTGTGCAAAGCCGCTGACATGGAGTCAATTTTGTGCCAAAAGTTTCAACAAAACACTAAAATCCACAAGCAAAATATTACTATTAAAATGTCCAAAATATCTATATATACAACCCAACATTTCCCAAAAAGTTGGGGTGCTGTGCCCAATGTAACACTTTTTTGGAAATGGGGTTGTATTTCAAATACAAGGCAGATCACAGCTCTCAGAGTGGATGTGGCAACACATTCAGAAGACTTCTCACTCCAAAACATTTGACCAAACGAGAGTGCATGTGAACTTCCTCTAATCACCCACTCCTTGTTAAAAAGTGTTAAAAGTTAAAAAGCCAGGAGCAAAAGAAAGATTCCAATGTATCAGCAAAATCAGCAAACCATAAAAATAATAAAGCAAAATAATAAATTTATATCAAAAACCGTGAAAATCAAGGCCTCTTGCAAGCTGTGTGGATTCATAGCTCAACTGAGTCACTCTGATTAACTGGTCATGGGCTAGCTCGCTCTGAACCTGAAAGTGAATGTGAGCATAAGCTTGTCTGGCTACAGTCACAATATTGTTAGCTAGAACCTTCAATGAACCCCCAGCCTGCTTTCAGTGGTTATACAGCTTGGGCCAGTAATACTGTTGAAAATGCCTCTGGAGCACCACACCTAATGCATTGTAGCCAGATGTCCCACTAAGGTCAAGTAACAGGCAAGCTAAAGCATCATCAGTCAAATAAAGTGTCAGCTACACAGCTTTCTGCTCATTGGACCACTAGAATAATTTGGAATACTATCAGTCCAAATTGTGCATGGAAAACTTCCCAATCTGCTTTACTAGAATACTTAGAAGTTTTTAAGCTCACCACTAAGCATCGTACCTGTGCACTGTCATCTTTGTTTACATCACTCAGCATTTCTGTCATACCAGAAGCCTGGGGTAGTACGGCCTGTTGGCTGGTCTCAGTGCCCGCTAGAGCACAGAAAAATAAGCCTCGCTGCTCGTTTCTTTAGCCCTTTCACTGTACTGTACTACACGTAAATAGATCTTAGTGAAATAATAACCTAGAACAAACATGCAAAACCATTTTCTAAACACACTCCAATAACTTTCATTCATTTTTGTTTATCTAAATTATCTAATAGTACTCGAATGTATTTGAATGTGCAATCATACTGATGTATTTCTCAGACATCTGGAATTCAGTTGGATTGGTGATGTAGGACTTGTGATTCTCATTTGTTTTAACAAGTAAATGGATTTTGTCTTCCAGCCCTGCTTACCATCCCCTCAGTGACCGATGCTGTGACGATGCAGCTTGGACACAGTGCCACCGTTTCTTGTCATCTGAACTGTTCTACAGTCACATGGTGGAGTAAAGGCATAGAGGTTTTTCAGATTTTTAAGATTTTTGAGTTTTCTGAAGGGAAATGCACTGTAGCTCCAGAGTTTAAGGACAGGACTGAATGTTCTGAAGAGAAGATCAGAGGAGGAGATGTTTCCCTCACTATAACTTCTGTCGTGTACAATGACCAAGGCTGGTACTACTGCTCTTGTGATGGAAAGGACCAGTGTAATAGGAGGATTGAGGTACTAGGTAGGTGATCTTATTCAATAAGCTTCTGTAATAAGCCAGTGTGCTGTGAGCCCTGAACAAAATGGTTGTTTTAAAACTGCATTTATACACAATATATCTGAATGTCTGTAGACACCTCTTTATCCAGCATTTTATCCAGCCTCTACTCTTCTGGGAAGGATTTACACTAGATGTTAGAACATTGCTGTGATGATTTGATTGCATTCAGCCACTAGAGTGTTAGTGAGATGTTGGATGATTAGTTATGGATCACTCCAACTCATCCCAAAGCTATTAGATGGAGCTCCATGACTCCAGAGAACGCAGCTGCCTAACAGCTTCCTGCTGAGGGGCTTTATACCTCACTAGCCAGCAACTAGTCCAAAGTATTCCATTTTCTGAAATACACATTAATTACACACGTCTATAACCTAAGAATAGTTCAACCGGTTTGCATTAAAGTGTCTGTAGTTACTGAATAATAAGCTCCAGTATGTAATAAGCCTGGGATTTTAAGGGGTTAAATTATTGGAAACTGACCAGTGAAGTTGCTCATTAATTATTGTTTTTATATTTTATCCCAGTTCCTACCACCTTAAGTATCTCTTTTGGAGGTAAGGCTACACTCCCTTGCTACGCTGAAACAGACAAACGGACGGTGGACTACTCTGCCTATGTGCTGTGGGAAAAGGACGAACAGCAGGTGTTGAAGCTCGAGAATGGAAATATGTCGTATGGTTCTGGATTTGAGCAGAGGGCCACAGTGTCAACAGAAAGCTATAGAAAGGGTGACCTCTCTCTGACCATCGATTGTGTCACATTCTCTGATTCTGGATTATACAGATGCTCCCTTAAGGACGGAGGACATGGATACCCCGGCGCCATCATTCTGGTTGTTGAAGGTTATTACATTTCCATTGTCTTTGGTACTCACTTACATTAAAAGAACTACAAAATGTTAGCAAAATGTTTTTAGCTAAGGAGCACTGAATGTTTTATTTTTACACCCAATGCTCCTTTTTTTCTTCATCAGACTCCAGCAGCTCAGGAAGTCGTGTCACACCGTGTCACACCAACATTATCATAGCCAGCGCGCTGAGCTGCGGGCTGCTGCTCATGGTTGTCACCATCATTGTCGTGCATGTGATGACCAACATAAAAAGGCTTCAGCTGTGATACATGTATAAATCCCGCCCGTGCATGTGTTCAAGCTCAGCAGCAAGCATGGCAAAGAAAAAGGAGCTAAGAGGAAAAATTATTCAATTGCACTAAAAATGCAATGGCTACAAGAAGATATCCCAGACACTTAGAGTTCAAAGACACAGTTGGAGGTATCATTCGTAAGTTTAAAACTCATGGTATGCATGATACAAAGGCCATCGTACACCAGCAAACAAAAAGAACACCACTCCTATGGTCAAGCATGGAGGAGCAGCAGTCCTGTTAAGGGGTGTTTTGCTGCTGTGGGAACTGGCAAACTTGCCCTTTTGACTGGCATCATGGATTTGTTGAAATACCAGGTCATTTTGGAGAAGAATGTGTTGTCTTCAGTGCATAAATTGAAGCTTGGTAATCACTGGACTTTCCAGCAAGACATTGATCCCCAGTACACATCCAAGTCAACCAAAGCTTGGTTAGGGAATCAGTCCTGGAATGTCCCTGAGTGGCCATCTCTGTTTGGTGGGATTTAAAGAAAGCTGTGGTGCAACAGAAACCAAGTAACAATAATGAGCTCAAAGGTTTTGTACATGAGGAATCAGCAAAGATTTCAATAGAGAGATGTCAGGAGCTCGTGAGCACCTAGCAGAAGCGTTTATTGGGGTTCATGAAGTGTAAAGGATCCACCACAAAATACTGAATTTGGGGGTTGAATCATTTTGCACATGGACATTTGTGGAAAGAATGATTTTTCATTTCAACTGTTAACAGTAAACTCAACTTCATGTTCTCAAAATCCCTTGAACATAATAATAATAATAATAATAATATAATAATAATAAACCTTCTTTGACTGTTTACTAATCCCTTAAATAATAGATTTTTATCCACTTTTATTTATATTACCAAACTGCCTTGCACTTTGAGGGGGCTGAATAAGATAAGATACTCTACCCACCTCTGATTGTAGAAAGCTGGTAAGCTTTAATAAAGTTCTTCAGGCTACTTCATAAAATGTTCAACAAAATGGTATTTCTTTCACAGAAAAACACTTTTAGCACAACATCAGACTGAAGGTGCAGAGAAACTCTTAGTGTAGAGCAGAACTGTAACCAGACTGCACAGAGGCTACTGTAAAGCAGAAAAGTGGAAATGTCAAAGTCTGGGCTGTTTTTCTTACAGTGTTGATTGATGGGATCATGAACTCAGAAGTGTGCAAAGGTATTTTGAATGTCTTGGGATGGCCAGTTTAAAATAAATGCACCTCAGTTTGACATTTTGCCTCCTAACATGATGAACGAGATTCCTTTTTAAGTACTGCACAAAAGCATAAATCTATTTTTTTTTGGAGCGTTTTTGTCTGTGTGAAAAGGCACTTCTTGGCAGTGGGAGGTTATTCAGCAACTATTATGAAACTGATGTGTGATTTATGACAGTTCTCATGAGGAATTGAAATATGAAATAGTTCACTGTAGAGACTTACCAATTTGCATTTCTTTATAGTGGTGTTGATAGGAACCAGAGGTAACTATGACTACAAGACAAATATAGCCTTTTTTTTTACTATCCAAAACAACCAGTGATCCTACATGTGTATTCTGAATTTTTATATGTAATGCTGACAATGGTAAAATAGTTATAAATAAAAAAAAGTCAATTTTCTTTGTGTCATTTAATGTGCCTCTCTACAATGAATGGAATACCATATAGACCAAAACGTCTAGCGTAAAACCATCAAGCACACACACATGCGCACACACACACACACACACACACAAACACACAAACACACACACACACACACACACATTATCCAAGTTACAAGTTATGTGTAACTGTTTTGTGCAGAAAAAAATGAGAACACTAATATATGTTCTAGTAAAGACACATATATTCTAGAAAGCCACAGTACACACAGACAATCATGTTTCAGATGTCTGGTTCGTATCACCACTCTTGTGAACAGACTTACAGATTGTTACAGTAAGTTTTCCTACAGTGGAGCACTTCAAACAAACCACTCTGAATGACTTAGTTTACATTTTAACAACTTAGAGGAATTTTAAAACATGGATGGAAGTCCCTTTATCACTCATTCAGTCCAAATTTCTTGGTCTTTTCAATTTATTTGGTGGACTTTAAAAGTGAGAAAAAACCCTACAGATTCAGTTGGAAGAATTTTTGCTTATAATCATAGAGTTCTCATTTTTAATTTGCTATTTAACTGTTTAAATAAAATGAAATGATATACTAATGTAATGAATAACTTTTATATTCAATTTGTATTCTGTGTTAATCATTTCAAGTGAGAATTTTGCCCGGTTGTTTCAGTGTCAGGAACTGACACACACACACACACAAACACACGCACACACACACACACACACGCACACACACACAGCAAAAATGTCAAGGAAGGTCTTATTTTCCACAAAACAAAAAATTGTAATCAAATGCAAAGCTAACTGGCTAAATTAAACAATATCAGATGTGATGATTTGATTTAAAGTTGCCTCTGTATGAGTCGGTGCACATTGGTGACAGTCAAAATAAAGAAAATACAAATAACTATTTTACACAGTATTTGGTTCCAGTGAAGACCAGAGACTAAATCTGGAGACGAAGAGCCGACACCAAGACAAGTCCAAGTACAAACACTACTGAGTCAAAGACAATGATAAAAAAAATCTCTGAGACAAATCTGAGACCAGACTTGAATACAACAGCACTGTACAATACTACTTGTGATTTTGTAGAGTTTAACAGGGCCTGAAAAGAAGTACAACTGTTTTGTACACATACCCGGATAATTCTTGGGTCAAGTTTTGTGTGTAACCCAGACCTCATAGGTTAACCATAGTTAACCACTCTCACAACTAACCAAACACTTTCCTTTCTACTTGTAGCATCACGTTATTAAAAAACGATGAATCATTCTGTAAAATTAAATGACAAGAGTGACAATGCGATTAACAAAGAGCTGTAGAGTTACAAGCCTATAGTTTGTTTGGCCTTAAAACTAGGCGATCTGAAACACACTCTGCTACAGGAAGAGGTTTCTCACCCCTGCATCTTGTCCACACAGCAATAAGAGGAAGTGGTTTTGGAGTAGACCATTTCACACCACTGTGGAGCTTTGAGTAGATCAAATCCACCAGAGATTCACCCAAACAACTAAAATTAAGGATTTTAATTTGAATCGTAATCTACAAACGTAAGAATCTTAAATACGTCTTCTTCATTTTACACGTCACAACATTCAGAATTTTCAACATTCTAAAACTTTGTGTTGTTTATCTTCAGGTTTAAATGAACAAAAAATAACCACATTTTCAATTTGGAGAGACAGACAGACAGACAGACAGACAATTAGATAGATAGATTTTCAGTTTATTATAATGCAAAACCAATGATTATTTTCAGCTCTAGGTAATAAAACAGAACACAACATGTTTATAATATTTCTGTTAACAGTATCAAAAGTGAACTGAACTCAATATTTGTAGACAGGCAGGTTCAACACAAACACATACGTGATCGATATTGCTTTTTAAAAATTACATCAACAAGTTTTTTATACAGTATGGTTACGGTTCAAGTGTCACACACCTCTTCAGTGAAGAAGGGCTCCTTCAGGTTTAAGGCGGTGGTGCTAAAAGTGAAAGTAAAGGAGTTGCTGAATGAGTCATTTAAAGGCAGTGTGATATAACACTTAACAATCTCAGCTTGGTGCTAAACTTGTGTAAACAACTGCAAATCAGACTCTTTTACCACACAGATGCAGGACTTTCATGGTCTTCTTTAGGAAGTCACAACCACCAACAGACCAGTAGCCTTTATTTCAACCAGACTTGATCCCCTGACTGTACGCAACAGATTTAATACAAATAACTGGATCGTATTACGCAAACCCAGACCATGCACAAGACTGTTTTGCTCCTTTTTAGCTGGCTTGTTTAGTAAAATTAATTGTTACTGTAGTCTAGTTGAGCTGAATTCCTCCAAACACCACCTAATCTCACAAGAACAAGTGACTCCAAACTAACCCAAATATCTGTTTGATACATAAACATCTCAGCAGTGTTTGTGCATATTTGCATTTCTGCTGCAGTTATGCATATAGGCTTTAGTTTATACTTGAACCTTTGTATGACCCCAAATCACTGTTCACTTCTTACTGACTGGGAATTTAAGAAAAACTTCTCAAATTTACAGATGGACCAGGTCAAGCGTTTTGGTGCATGTACATAAAGACTGAAACATTTAAGTATACAACATTTAAGTGTGTAACATTTCAGTATTTGATTATGTAAACAATTGTTGGGAGGAAAAAAAAAATGCAACAACTGAAAATAACTTGGACACAGCGCCAAAACTGTTTTTCACACATAATCCCACGATTTTACCAGCTTCATAAAAACAAGGCATTTCTGCCCTTATTTTATTTTATTCTTTGCAACTGTGACATTGATCTGCCAAAGCAATTACAGCTGTGGTCAGTAGGGGGTGCAGTGTTTACACTTTCTCCCCCCCGTACTACAACTATGCCTGGCACAGATGATGCTGCAGTGGCTGCTTGTAATAATATTTGCAGTAGATGTCACTCATTATTCATTCATCTTTCACACAGAGAAGTTAACAAATGTCTGTTTTTGCTCACAGCTCATCAGTATGGTCATCATAAAAAGGTGAGTGACTGTTTTGCCGGATCTAGTGGTCCTACCACCAGTGATGGTGTATTTCAAGGCAGGCAATCACAGTTCAAACTTCTGGATGTGCAGCAGGCTTAAGACACTGTTCATTGCAAGTCAGACTATGAGCTGAGAGCCTCTATCGTGAATAACTCTGTAAACTGTTAGTGGCTGACAGTGGAACTTACACAGTGACGGACGTCAAATCTGGTGAAGTCGTTGTCATTCACAAGCTTGCAGTTACTGGTGAATTTCATTTAACGATTTTTGGACAATTGAGTCATTTCCAAAGAGGCCACACAGTGAAGCTGCACCAGACCATGATAC